TATTTATATGACAATATACGCAGCGCTATACATACTGCACATTCACATCGGTCCCTGCCCTCAAGGAGCTTACACTCTAAGGGCCCCATCTCACATACATACGAGGGCCAATTTAGCCCGGAGCCAATGAACCTCCCAGCATGCAAATTGCCCGTTTAGATACATTTGCCTTCATTTTGCAGATTGGTGAATATTTGCTTAAATCGGCTTTACCAAAATTTGGAATGTAGAGAAACGTTCAGATGGCGAAGGTAAGCGCAATGGCGATAAAGATTCTCGTTATGGTTTGTAGTGGAAACGATGCCGAGACGCCGTACCAGAGCAACGGTCAGGTGGAGAGCGCCGAGGGGGTTCCATGAGCGTTAGGGAGTCACCATGCAGGTTGGGGTCCCCGTTGCCGGGGATTGTCAGGTGGAGAGCCCAGAGGGGGTTCCATGAGTGTTAGGGAGTCACCATGCAGGTTGGGGTCCCCGTTGCCGGGGATTGTCAGGTGGAGAGCCCAGAGGGGGTTCCATGAGTGTTAGGGAGTCACCATGCAGGTTGGGGTCCCCGTTGCCGGGGATTGTCAGGTGGAGAGCCCAGAGGGGGTTCCATGAGTGTTAGGGAGTCACCATGCAGGTTGGGGTCCCCGTTGCCGGGGATTGTCAGGTGGAGAGCCCAGAGGGGGTTCCATGAGTGTTAGGGAGTCACCATGCAGGTTGGGGTCCCCGTTGCCGGGGATTGTCAGGTGGAGAGCCCAGAGGGGGTTCCATGAGTGTTAGGGAGTCACCATGCAGGTTGGGGTCCCCGTTGCCGGGGATTGTCAGGTGGAGAGCCCAGAGGGGGTTCCATGAGTGTTAGGGAGTCACCATGCAGGTTGGGGTCCCCGTTGCCGGGGATTGTCAGGTGGAGAGCCCAGAGGGGGTTCCATGAGTGTTAGGGAGTCACCATGCAGGTTGGGGTCCCCGTTGCCGGGGATTGTCAGGTGGAGAGCCCAGAGGGGGTTCCATGAGTGTTAGGGAGTCACCATGCAGGTTGGGGTCCCCGTTGCCGGGGATTGTCAGGTGGAGAGCCCAGAGGGGGTTCCATGAGTGTTAGGGAGTCACCATGCAGGTTGGGGTCCCCGTTGCCGGGGATTGTCAGGTGGAGAGCCCAGAGGGGGTTCCATGAGTGTTAGGGAGTCACCATGCAGGTTGGGGTCCCCGTTGCCGGGGATTGTCAGGTGGAGAGCCCAGAGGGGGTTCCATGAGTGTTAGGGAGTCACCATGCAGGTTGGGGTCCCCGTTGCCGGGGATTGTCAGGTGGAGAGCCCAGAGGGGGTTCCATGAGTGTTAGGGAGTCACCATGCAGGTTGGGGTCCCCGTTGCCGGGGATTGTCAGGTGGAGAGCCCAGAGGGGGTTCCATGAGTGTTAGGGAGTCACCATGCAGGTTGGGGTCCCCGTTGCCGGGGATTGTCAGGTGGAGAGCCCAGAGGGGGTTCCATGAGTGTTAGGGAGTCACCATGCAGGTTGGGGTCCCCGTTGCCGGGGATTGTCAGGTGGAGAGCCCAGAGGGGGTTCCATGAGTGTTAGGGAGTCACCATGCAGGTTGGGGTCCCCGTTGCCGGGGATTGTCAGGTGGAGAGCCCAGAGGGGGTTCCATGAGTGTTAGGGAGTCACCATGCAGGTTGGGGTCCCCGTTGCCGGGGATTGTCAGGTGGAGAGCCCAGAGGGGGTTCCATGAGTGTTAGGGAGTCACCATGCAGGTTGGGGTCCCCGTTGCCGGGGATTGTCAGGTGGAGAGCCCAGAGGGGGTTCCATGAGTGTTAGGGAGTCACCATGCAGGTTGGGGTCCCCGTTGCCGGGGATTGTCAGGTGGAGAGCCCAGAGGGGGTTCCATGAGTGTTAGGGAGTCACCATGCAGGTTGGGGTCCCCGTTGCGGAGGGGATGGCGCTTACCTGCGACTGGGCGAGGCGTCGGTCTTCCCTGTCGTACGCGGGGGTTTCCGGCAGCCCACCCTGGTGTGCGGCAGAGGTGGGTGTGCGCCTGAACGGACTATTGTCAGTCGGTGCGGTGTCTACGCTGAGCGGCGGTTCTCACATCCTGGGGTTGCCATGGCGACCTCACACCATTTAATCCCCGGGGCGGGCGAGAGTCCTGAGGATGGAGGGAGGGCGGAGCGGCTCCAGATGTTCTCATGAAAAGCTTTTGCCTGGATTGGGAAGAGGAGGGGGGGGGGGGGGG